CACAGATTTTTTCATCGAGCGAAATTGCTATTTACTCGGTTCATTTACGACATCGTATTGAAAGAGGCAAATAAGCATTTATGTATATTAATTATTGACGAATTTTTCTGGTTTTATCTTATACTTTCAAAAGAAAATCTTTCCACGATCGACTTACGTCCCAGCGACGCAATTCTTATCTGATGTACATTGACCAAATATACACAACTGGACGATATGGCAGATTAACAAAGTGCAAAGTACAGTTAGATTTGACGCATGTTTCAACGAATAAACATTATACAAACAGAAATTTTAAGGTTTACGCATTAAATTTACATCATCGCATCGCCGTGACGTAGGACATAAATATTATTCGTTTATCACAACGTCAGCTTCATAGTAAAATATATTGTATTTGTGTTAAAACTGATCTTTGTTAAAATGTTTGTGTTGAATTTTTAATACATACTCGAATGTTAATTGGACATAATATTTAATTGGGTTATTTAAATTTTACATTAAGTTGATATTCAATATTCATTATTAAAATAAAATAATTTATGAATAAGAATACAATAAAAAATAATGTATCTAAAAATGCAAATTATAAGAATTGAATAAAGTATGTTTAGTATATTATGAAAATAGAAATAATGTGTTCCCACAATTTATTTACAAATAATGTAGTGTTACGTTTTTTGTGTTAATTTAAAAGTCAGAGAAATTAAGTAAAAGATAGATTGTTAAACACCGTCGAAGAAATAGTCAAGATGAAATAAAACTGACAAATAACTGAAATATGAGTATAGAAATTTTAGTAGACAATAAAAAACCGATTAAATGATGATATATGTATATTTTTAACGCTTACCGTAATTCGAAGATAAATTGCACTGTAATTATACAGTTGTAAAGACTTATTGCGATGTTGCTGCTATCTACATCGCAATGCGACTATACTCCAGTGAGTAATTAGCAATTTAACTGAACGGCACTTCGTGCGGGTTGCTTTACGTGCCGGCGCGCAGTGAGGTAAATCATTTCACAGCTCGACCAAGCCCGAAGGTCGCCTTGCACGGAGGCACATGTAAATGAATGGGGATTGGATAGGGCAATGTAACAGGGTAGCAAGGGTTGCCAGGAGTGTTTCAAGGGCTCCTTCAAGGTCAAAGTGGGGACGGCAGTCGTCGTTCATATCATTAAAGACCCACGTCGTGGTATTCATGGCTGCCCACGCGCGAGCAACGAGCACACTTCTTCATTCGATTCCCCTTTTTCCCCCATTCTGCTTTCTTCGTTTACTTTTTTGGGGTAAACGACCACATGTAATGTCGCAATTAAGCTAATTAATTAATTAAAGTGTAAACGCGAAAACCGGTTTTACTAGCAACTTTTCTCATAAAAGCACTTGGATGTGCCCGTCTGCCGTGTAAAAGAGAGATAGTCTTTCAATATACATTAATTATAAATATAAATATAAAAAAATTGTGAATATAAGCATAAATTATTTTTAATATAAAAAATATAATTATTTAACATATAAACATTTATGTATTTAACATAAAGGATATAATTGCAGATTTAATATTAAATGTTCTATAATACTTAAAAAAATATTCTTTGCAAAAATTTAAAAAAATTGAAATTATTGTGGATACTCGAGATATTAAAAACATTACAAGATTAAATACAGGTACACGATACGTGTGAAACAAGATTATGACGCAGAGGCTACTGTGATGTCAGAGACTGCAACCCCCAGCAATCCGCTCAGCTGTCATTCATACTTTTCGCAGTAATCACGATGCAACAGTCGTACGATTCGGCTACCAAGCCCGCAGGAATAGCTAGGAGTCCCGCGGGCCTGGCGCATCGTTTGACTACGATTTCGCCAATGTTTTCTAAGTAATACCTCGCACCATAAGAGAATCTTGGGGGTGCGAGGTATTAGGGATTCACGATCGAGCAGGAGGAGAATTTTCACCCCACGGGGGTAACTCGCGAAGGGGGATGCTGGGGATATACGCGAGGTTTCGTTTACGCAGACAGAACCCCGGGGTCGATGGCACCCCATAGGGCGGTACGCCAATTCTATGGCGCGCGTTACCGGCTCTCGACCAACCCGTATATCGATCGGTTCGATATACCTAAGCCGGAAAACAGCTTTTGTGTTATCCTGTTCTCGCGTGAAATCTACTTCGTATCCTATTTCAGAAAGATATTGAATGAGATTCGTGAACAATAGTTTCACCACCAATTCACCAAAGAAATACGTTCTATCCAAAAATAAAAATCTATCTCTTTGTTCGAGAACAGCTGATAAGTTTTTGTTCAATTTTTTATACCGTTCATAATGCCCGATAAACTAGAAAACTATAAGATTAAAGTTAAAATTGTTATTATATAAAATGTTGTTTAAAAATTTTTTAATTGTTTTAATTAAAGTTATTATATAAAATTGTAAGTTTTAATTGGCAATATTAATAATGTTTTATTTTTTTGTAAATGTAAATACGTTATGTACATTCAAGGATATATTAAAGTTTACTTGAAAATCTCGTTGCAATTTTCGTAGCATTCCTCACGTGCATAATAAATTACTCCAGTATGCCTGTTCGTCTTCGAGGAACAAAGCTTGACCTCGATGCAACAAGGCTATGCGTTTTGCTCTTACTTGCAGAAACTCGTAACACGGTCTCTTATGCACGCGATCGTTTCGTCACGACAATCGCAATACTGCACCTTGACGATGCGGAGAACGATTGTCGCGTTACTTGAGACGGGGAAGAAAAACGGGAGCGACTTAACGAGCACTTGAGTGCCTTTGATCTGGTTTAATTAGCCGCAAGCCGCTGAACTACCGGCGGATTTATCGTCTCATACCGTCTAAGAAGAGACGAAGTTTCCACGAAGAGGCGGTTGCTACAAAAAGGGCGGTCTTTTTGAGGTACTTTGGGCGATGCACCCTGGATTTTGTAGAACAGAGAGAAATGCTTCGTTTAATGATCTGTCTTGAGCAGCTGTTACAAAGCATCAGTCAGCTTAGACAAATTTTTCTTAAATTCGATATTTCAAGAAAAAACGAAAAAACCAAAAATTGAAGAGGATAGTCTTTTGCTTATTTTAGGAAACAAAATTTTATAAGTGCACATATATCATAAAGTGTTACATTTTTTAAATATTGTATATGGTTACTTATACATATGCTACATATGCAAAAATGTTTTATTAGTAATAAAAAATGCTGATTCTTAAATGTGTATGCACGCACGTACACACACACGCACACACACGCACGCACGCCACGAGCACTCGCACGAACTTAACAAATGAAACAAAGGGTATTCCAAATTTCTTGCATTTTTCTTTTTCAATTCTAACATCATGTGTGTGTATTTTAAATATTATAAATATTTTTAATATCAAATCATAATTTATTTATTTCACATTAATAAAAGTATCAAAAGATAACATCTTTCACATGTTTTTATTTCCGAGAAAAAACAAATATTTTGAAAAATTATGATTCTAAAAACGATCACTGAATTACTAAATTCTAATTTCTGAATTACTAAAATCTAATTTCCAAGAATATCATTTTTTATTTAGAAATAGGTACTTTAAATACAATATAATAATCTACCCCAAATGTAACATTTATAAATACATATCTTCTAAATAAGACAAGAAATTTAATTAACAATAAAACTATTATTAAATTTCCATAATCACAAAATTGTTGGCAGCTTCGTCTTTAAACAAAAAAGTTTTATTCATTTATAATTTTTATAAATCCATAAAGATTTCTATTTTATAGTACAAAGGAACACGATCACTTTTTATGTGTTTAATGTAAACAACTCTAAAATTTATTTTTTATTCAAATATTATATGTCACCTCACTGTTACAATTATCCATAATAACTTTACTTTTGTAATAGGAGAAGATCTGTTAAATTGATATAGCGATCTTTGTCTCATCTTTCCATTTTGAAACCGGACCGCTCGGAAAAAGAGAAGCTCCCAGTTGAGCTCTTCGAGGAGTGGGGTGAAACAGAAACACATGATGTTCAGATGGGTCAGCAGAAATTTGAGTGATTAGTGCATGGTCGATCAGTGGACTACAGTTCATCGACGGCGCTTGACCGTGACCGTGTCATCGCCGACCGTCTCTTCTTTTCACGTAATCAGCCTGTCGGATGATAGAAAATTCATAATGATAGATTGAAAAGGGAGTTATTCACAACAAAACAATAAGTGTGATTCGAAAATTGTGTAAAAAGTTGAAAACTACATAAATTAAAGATTATATTTAAAAATCAAAATACTATAAAAAGCTGATAATTCTATATAGATTTAAAAATTGGAAATTGTTTAAATATAAAAGCTAAGAATTTCTAAAAGAACCGAGAAAAAGTTCATTACTTGAAATATCACAGTCAATATTATAGTATGCGCAACTGAATACGCGCACTATTAAAATTTCATTTATTTGAAAACGGACGCTCTCAATATCGGAACAGCCGCCGACACGAGTGCTATCATTGGCGCTTTGCGTCAATCGATTTTTTCGTTATTATTACTCCTTATCACGCGGCTTACATAGTGGCTGGCACTGATGAATTGCCCCCGTCGACGAGACAGACATTTAGAACTCACGAGATCTTCGTAGAGTCGACGCCAAGGACGTATTTCTGCAGCATTTGAAGTGAAGTCTCTCATCTTCAATTGACCACAAAAGTTCTGAAGATCCAAAATCTTTGGACGTTGCTAATTTTCGAGAAAGTGAAGTGATAAAGAAGAACATTCTTCGTACGTCATTTATAATTGATTTTTATCGGAAGTTAACACATGAAGTTAACATCAGAACACTATGATAACATAATTTATTGGACAAATGTTTAACAGTACACAAGGTTTTAAATTGTTTTTAAGAAGACATCTAATGTTGCTATAGTACTGTTATACTCGACACAGCAATATGTGTGATATGATCAAATTATCGTAATACGGAAGAATTGAACCTAATATTGTGAGAAGTGTATGTTATATACATCAACGTGAAGATTGTACGGATATCAGTTAATACGAAAATATTTCAACATGTCTTTTCTTAACGAGATGATAGTGTTGGCATACACAGCCCAAATGATGTCTACCTTGCCTGAAAAGGCAGGGAATATTAGTGTAGTTCAAAATACTACGACCTTGTCGCCAGTGGAGGTGGAGAACAAATTCGACTTATACGACCGTAAGCATCAATTTTGAAAAATCTATATAATCTTCTTTCACTTCTAAAAGATTTCTCTGTAGCTTAAAATATTTCGTGTCATCATTTTTCACAAAGACTAATAAAATAAAACTAATTAATCTTGGAAACATGTTCATTATATCTTTTCATTTGATCTCTCGTTTATCTACATTTTTTACAAGCATTGAAATATTTGATATCCAATGGACCCACGTCACTATATTTAAAAGGTAATGTATTTTTGCTTGAAGTTAACATAATTCAGCAATATTTTTCATTTTAAAGATCAAAATGCGAAGAATACAAGATTTATGCAATTTAAATTTATAAAAAATAAGATTATGTAATTTAACATTATAAAGAATAAGATTATTTGATTTAAAATTATATAAATTTGCAAAAAACCATTTGTTCAAACAAATTTTCACGTTTGGCGTAATTCGAATAATATTCAGGTCCACGAATACTAATTGGGGTTAAGAACATATCTGAATGAGGTCGGAAGAAAATTATAATAAAGAAAGCGAGGGTTAGTTTACGGTCACGTGCGATCATATATTGCGCTTATCGCTAATCACTGATCTCCAACACGGAGACAAAACATCAACGGGGTCTTCAAGGAACTGATAGAACCGCGTGCGGAGATAACTTGAACGTGCTGATAACCCCTGAAAAGTAATCCTATTAATGCTGGTCTCTCGAAACGTCGGTTAATATTAGTGAAGGACGGCGAATAAACCAGTTGATGGTTGATACACATGTCAAAATATTTGTAATTAACACGCTGCTCCAAAATTTTATATAATTACGTACAGGGTGGACTATTTTAATACCCTATCTTCAAAAATTTTTTTAGTTTTTATTTTAGAAAATAATGTTTTTAAACAAAAGTAAAAAACGATTTCAAGGGAGATGTATTTTAATTATGTCTTTTTTTCTTCTAGGTGGAGGCATCACAAAGATATAAAAGTTGCTCCTCCTTTTAAAAATATAATTGCATGATTTTTTGTACTGTATGATTTTTTTTTAATTATTCTGCATTTTAAAAGTATTGCTAGAATTCTAATTAATTTAATCAAAGAAATTCTGTGAATGTTGGTTATCTCAACTAGAATTCTAGTAGATTTATCGAATAAATACAAAATATCTCAAACTTTTGTTTTTTTTATATCTTTACCTTATACATTTACATGCAGAATAATTAGAAGAATTGTACTAAGTAAAAAAATCATATAATTTCATTTGTAAAAGAATAAAGATAACCTTCATATCATTTTATCTAAATGGCTCCCTCATCTTAAAGAAAAACAACATGACCAAAATACATTCTTCTCGAAACTGTTTCATTTTTGTCTAAAATATTTTTTCTAAAATTAAAAATAAAAATGTTTGGAGAATGGGACGGTCAAGTATCCCACTCAATACAATAATTTCATGGCGTGAATGATATCAGTATCTAATGCAAAAGTTTTGATACGTATATTTATGATATGACATTTAAATTTTTCTAGCCACAAATTATTTAATTAATATAAATTAAAATAGAGGATTATGTTATAATGGAACTAAGCTCAGTTCCACAACTTACAAACCTTAACAGTATTTATAACTGATAAATATTCAAGACGCCTCGAACATGGTAGCCCGATGTATATGACTGTATATCATTTTATCCGCAGGCGTATTCAATACGTTTTTAAGTTTTCTTTTATGATTGTATGGATCTTCAAGAAACTATAATATAGATTTTAAAGTTCAGAACCAAAATTAGCTATTTTTACATACTCTCCTTTAGATCATTGTTGCACTTTCATTGCTAAAAAGAAGTAAAAACGAATCTCTTTATTAATTAGAATGGTATATGTGGCGATGTTACGAGCCTTTCGGATGCTTTTATATTGGACCACCCTGGTCTGGAGAGAACCGACCGGTGTCCACATTTCCGGCAAGACCGGACAGCATCAATCCTCATTACATCCTTTATACGCGCGAACAGGTCGGAAAACCTTATGAATTAAAGATCGATGGAAATTCAACGATCCGGAAATCGCCATTGAACAAGAAGAACAATTTGTATTTTATTGTCCACGGATTCCTGGACAACGGCGACAAAACTTGGGTTTTGGTGAGTGTCTCTCACAATTTTTAGAAAAATCGATATTTCATAGATATTTTCCGAAAAAAAAAATTATGTTTGAGGTTCCTGAGTACAGTCATCATAACCATATTGAATTGTGACGTCACGCGCGAGAAATAGCACGTAATAAAAATTAACGTATCATTTCTCCCTTCTGACGTCACGACTATGACGACTACTCGAAATTTACGTTGAAATATTAATCGAGACACTACCATGTTTCTTGATTACCTATTAGACATCAAGATACAACCTTGACCATATTTAATGCTCTTTTACTTATTCGTGTCACGAATGTTCTCTTATTTTATTCTATAAAGCCCACTTCACATTTATAATTCATACAGAACTCTGTTAATCATCTATAAAAAATCTTTTATGATTATACTGCTATCAAACTCTTCACTCATGTAAACGTTTTGACAGAGAGTGATGAAGGAGTTGCTCTTGCGGGAAGATTGCAACGTCGTGATCATCAATTGGCTCGCCGGTGCTGGGCCACCTTACACACAAGCGGTGGCAAATACACGGCTAGTGGGTGCTATGATAGCTCGTATGGCAGCACTACTAATCGAGATCACGGAATTACTACCCTCCAAGATGCACTGTATCGGCCACAGTCTAGGCGCTCACACTTGCGGTTACGTTGGATTCCACTTACGTGTTCGATACAACTATACATTAGCTCGAATTACAGGTAAAATTGACTTAAAATGAACATATTTATTATAAAATCAATAAAATATATCTTTCCTTTACCTCAGATTCTAACTAGACGTAACTTTTAAGTTGAAAAATATTTTTCTGCTTTTTTGAAGAATTTAATTTCTTTCAAATTGTGTCACTTTCAAAATAGGGGAATGATATATGACTCATGCAACCGTGCCGCATAGATAATTCTTTCTAAATTGCGCAATATAACATAGTCATTAACGTACAATAATTAGCAAGCAAGTTTTTATACAATATGCATGAATAAGCGCAGGAATGAAAAATGATATGTTTAATAGTCTTTCGAAGATTATGTTATGCGATAAGAAAACCAGACTTCTCTATAAGGAGTTCAAGAAACGATTGCAAGAGAGGAGTGTGAGAAGCTTCTTTTTGCAAGACTGAAGAAGTGATTGCAAAAGAAAAACGCAAAAAGAAGAGAAAGGAAAACACAGGGTGAAGTCATAAAGATATGCGAGAAGAAAGAATGGTATGAAGGAGCGATTGCTACAGTGCTTTTTTTTCCTCTTACTCATTTTTCTACTCAAAATCGGTCATTGTCAAGTGTCCCCTCCTGCAGTCACAAACAGCTCGGAGCATTACGAAGATAGCCGATTGAATCGTAGATGATCAGGATAGCAGTCGCCGCAGAAACGTCTTGCTTAAAAAGAGCCAACGTCGTTCTTAAGGCGTTATTAACTATGCAAAAATTGAAATAAAAACTTATTTTAATAACAAAATTATTAATAATAAAAATCAAATATTTTCTCGAACAGTAAACGCAGTAAAAACATTTTGAATTTGTTAAAATCGTTTCTTATTATAATTTTTATCGTGAATATTTAATTATTAGTTTTTTTCTAACATATTTATTTTATAAAACGAGTTAAATTTAATTTTTCAACTCTGTAACTTTATCCTTACAATGGGAAGAAAGTCTTGTTGTGTTTGTTCGTACAATTAAAATATTTTTCTCAGTGTAGCTATAAAATTACTTTAATCTTGAAAACATATTTTTTTAAAGTTTCTACAAAAACATAATAAATAAAAATAATAACACTTAATACAAATAAAGTAATATCAGCAAGAATATAAGTACTTATACATATACATTATACTGTATGGAATATAAAAAATATTTTCTTATCTGATTATTCATTGTACACACATTTTAATGCCTGAAACTTACATTTTTAACTTTCCATCAGAGTTTCTATTACACAGACTTATAATTTAAATGATTAGTGAAATTTTTTCAAACGTAATAAGAATCAAAGCTATAAGAATCAACGATCCTTCTCGTTGTGACAAGTGAATAGGAAACAGTTGTCATTAGTCGATGAACGTAACGACTGTAAAATCACGATACTTTCATTGTACTTTCCTATAATTATTTATGCCATCGGTGGATTTATATAACATACGATATTGTAAAATATCGAAAAAACAACAAGTATCATGTGAGCATGATAACGTAATTTGCTATATCGCGACATATGGAAATTAAAAATTATATTACGTCAAAAGTCATAATCGTCGTGCTATACTGAAAGAAAATAGCAGTAGCTACCAAACGTATTTTGTTTAATAATATTTAGTAAATATTACTAAATATAATAGTCGTAACCAATCGTTTGATAATCATTAGAAAAGTAAAATAATTAGTTATATTAACATTCGATTGACATTATTTTATCTAGTATACTTATAGTATATTAATGATACTCCGTTCTCTCTTCTGCATGATGTTTCGTAAATCGTACCGTTATTATGCAATTTGCAATGTCAACGATAAATCAATTAGACGCGTATAAAAGCGAATGTGTACACGTATAGAAGACATAACCCTGCGAAATTTCCTCTCCCTTCCCCGCCCGAATCGATGAAATCGAACGCACCCAGTGGATGGGTTTGGTCGTTACGTAAGCTATCGATCCCATCGGGAACTACCAGGATAACAGAAGAAGGCGCGAAGTGTGTTGACAAGGGCGGCGGCGGGGCCTATATCGTCAATGGCTGCAAAGCGACCCGCAGAATTCGCCCCAGGGTAGGCAAATCGACGCCCTCTCTCCGCCTCGGCACGATCACGAGGCAGGACATCCCCTAACGAGGCGGGCGTTTTGGGATCCACTAGTTCAGCCGACGAGACAAGACATGCGTCGAGAATTCGAGGGGGAATCGTCATTCCTGGACCCATCCCGAGACTGCATTCCGAAGACCGAGTCCGAGATTGCGGTAAACAACCAGAATAAGAGAGCACGTTGTCCCAAGAAGTGGCAGGATAGCAGGAGAATAGGCCTCGTTCCCGAATAAGGACGAGAAAGATAATGGGATATCATCAATCACAGGCATGAAAAGAGTATGCGTTCTGAAGAAAATTGTCGAAGCGAAATGCAAATCCGAAATTTCGCAATAACTTCTTTACAGACTTTGAGATGTCAGTAGCGAGTCAAGTTGACGATCCACATGATACCGTTTTATCTCGATTTAATTTAATTTCGGGGATTATTATTATTTCAATTTAATCATGTTGCGACACGCAATGTCATATACATACATATGTCTGAGATTTAAGCGGGTACAACTTTTTTCGCATTTGGGATGTAAATTGTTTTTTATTTCTACATTTACTTATATATTTATTTTTCTTCATAGGAACCAAAAGTTATTATAATAATGACGTTACACTCAATAAAAAATTGATGTATTGTCTCTGTATGTAAAATAAAAAATTAATAAAATCTTTATTTATATCATTACGAAATTGCAGTTAATTATCACTATCAAACATTTAAAATTGTTTTCAATTTAGAGAGTTGAATCAACAACTGTCTGAATTAATTTTCAAATGATTATGGCATAACTGACAGTGATTTCGTAACGATGCAAATAAAAATTTTATTCTTTATTTTAATATGTATACTAATTTTTCTTTGAGTGTACTGTCATATATTATGATAATTTTCGGTTTCCGTGAAAAAAAATACATAAAAAAATATAGAAATAAAACGATCCTCAACGATGGCAAAAAAGTGAAAGTTGTACTTTCTTTTATTTAAAATACATATAGAGATGTATTATTTCAACATCTGGCTTTGACCATAAGTGCTACTCTTATTTACAATCAGTGATATATTCATATAGCGATCTTGTTCTGGCTTAATATTGAAATGCAAATCGTTCACCATCAATTCATCGCTGTATATAAATCTTTCCTACTCGAAAGATTCCGAGCTGCATGTCATTTGTAAATTTCATTCAGGAGAACGAAAATTATGCTATGCGTCGTGATGTAAGAACGTTTACGGAAGGTAAATCATCGCAACGATAATTTAACTGTTAACGTTTTGTCTCTACAAATCGTAAAATAACTTTCTTTGCGTAATGTAATAACAGTATTACCGGTATTACGGTAAAACTTTCAGTAATCCTTATGTGACAGGAGCTGAACCATGTGTACTTTATAAGTCGAACGAGATGAACATTCATTAAGATAGCGTACAAAACGATATACATTAAGAATAAATGCTATGGTTGGCATCATTTTCAAAACATAATTTCACCGACATGTCTGAAACCGTCCATTCAACATCAATTTTTATTATGATGTAAATATTTTCGCAACTACTATTAAAACAGGTATATTAGTAACTTTCAACATTTCTTGAATTCATCAAAAATAGTTATTTTAAAAAAATGGAAAACAGTAATTAAAAACTTTCAGTCTTACAAGTTGTAAAGTATACTATAAATCTATATTATTTATATACATATATAAATGTATAATATAATATATGTATATAGCATAATTATAAATATTTATATATTATAATATATTTACTATATTTATGTATTTTTATTATTATAATAATTATTAAAAAATATATTCGATGTATGTATATATATTTTTATACATATACATACACAATATGTGTGTATATATTCGACAAAATTTAGATCACACATAAGCGAAAGAAAAAAAACACGATTCTATGTAAGACCTAAAAAAATCAACAACTCTTTGTCAGCTAACGCCCAATTTCAATGCAGAATTCGTTCTCTTTATTACAAATTTATTCCACATGCGACGCATCGTATTCCCTGGGTAGTCCCTGCCAAACTCGTGCGCCGATTTCGGTGGCCTATTTCGATTGACGAAACGGTTAACACTTGTTACGTTAAAATTTCTCCCTTCAAGGTCTTGATCCAGCGGAACCGCACTTTAGCAACACGCATCCGATGGTCCGACTTGATCCGACGGACGCGAACTTCGTGACAGCCATTCACACCGATTGTGATCTTTTTATTAGCGGTGGCCTAGGTATTAGCCAACCCGTTGGTCACATTGATTTCTATCCGAACAGCGGTCGCAATCAGCCTGGATGTAATGAGGGTGTGCTGAATTCCATCACCTTGGAACGCGGCAGTTTCATTCGCGGTAAGAGAGTTTCTAATTCATTTAATCATAATTGAAAATGTCCTTTTACGTTAAAATAAAAAAGAATATACGAATATTAATAATACTTAATGCTTTTAATAATTACCAAAATCGATTTTTTATTTACTCGTCGTTATGTCACCCTTCAAGAGAAAAGAATTTTCGATTTATGTATCTGTCCAAAATCGAATCTGAAGCACTTCTTTTTTCAGGTATTAGGAGATTTCTAGGATGCAATCATATTCGTAGCTACGAATACTTCATTGAGAGCATAAATTCGCCATGCCCATTCTTAGCCGTGCCATGCAGTTCGTGGGAGAAATTCCAAGAAGGCAGTTGTTTCGACTGCGTAAATCAATATTGTCCTAGATTCGGATTGGACGCTCAGCCTGGAAATTACCACGCATCTGTGTATCTAATGACTGGATCTGATAAGCCTTTCTGCAGTGAGTAACAGAATTCATTTGTACCTTTTTATCGGCCATGTAAAATTTTATATCTTTCGTTAGTAAAGTATATACTTGATTCTTTTCCGCGACACTCTCCTTTTCGTACTATACTCACGATTTTTCTCTTCCTTGCTATGTATACGAAATTTGAATAATAGGAATTTTTCTTCCAAATTATAGAAGCTCACTACAAGCTGACCATAAATATCTCGAAAACAGACGAAAGTTTGTTGCACGGAGGGGAGGTCGGATTGTTCGTTGTACGCGTGATCGGCGTAAACGGCAAAAAGACCGAAGAGATGCAGCTGAGTCCAGCCTCGAAGTACTACGAGCCTGGTAGCACGCACACCATCGTACTGCCCGGCGACGTTATCGGGAAGCCGCACTCGGTGGAAATCACCTGGAAATACGAGACCCGAGTCTGGAACCCACTCACATGGAGACTGTTCCACACGCCACGGGTTTATATCGACATGCTGACTATAAAAAACTTGGAGACTGATTACGGGTGAGAAATTCCGTTTACCTCGCGGCTTGCTGTCGGCGAAGTAATATCTAGTGAAAAGATCGGGATCATGAACCACGAGAATTCTTGAATACGCGACATTTCGCGTGTAACGTCCAAACGAATGCACGGCTTAAAGATATATTAAACGTACTTTTTTTTAACACACAAAACGAAAGAATTAAGAAAAAATTACCAATTTTTTTTATTGTATTCCAAAATAATACGAAAGGTTTGATAGCAATTTAAAATCTGGATCAAAACTTATTTCAATAAGAAGTAAAAAATTATGATCTGTGTATGCATATCAACAACAATAAATCGGAAATTGCAATTACATGTGATTTTATCATCATAAGGCAGAAAATTTGCTATATTTTAGCAAAAATAAAAAATGCTCTACATTTAAATTATTCATAACATAGTAAGATATTGACATTTAAAAAATGCATTTTATAGAAAATAAATAATACATTCATGTCTGATCAAAATTGTAAGATGTTAAACTTCTTTTACAAAAAATGTCAATAACGCAAAAAATTTTTTGCACATTAACTTCGATTATTTCGAAAATCTGACGTCCTAGTAAAATTTAGTTTAAAATAATAAAAAAAAGCATTTTTATAAATTAGTATATTTAAGAAAAAATAATAAAATTTTCGTTTAAATTATAAGATTATATTTTTAAATATAAATCTGTTAACCTTTATTGAACTGTTTATGTGTAATATTAATTTTTATCGAAAAGTATAAATTTTCAATTTTAATCATTTTTTTTGCAAATTTATACACCTCACACATTCTTAAGAAAATAATCGTAAATCTCATTTGTATCTTTCACACATTCCATCTTTATAGCTTCTTCTCGACTTTACAGTTCGCGCCAGCTTATCTTCAGTGCAATTTTTATTACGCGCGAATGTTTCTACAACGATAAAAGGAAAATGTTGAAACAATGCGATAAATGAGTCGCCGATTTTTATGAAATTTGACATATACAGTCGCATTAATTATTACACAGCGTAATTACTTATATAATTGCGCAGAGATAACTACATAATTATTAGATGGAGTTGCTAGATAGAGTTACGTAATCGACTCCTATTTTTCGTAACTTTATTCTTTATTTTTTCTTTTCAGGGTTACGCTGTGTCCGGACGACACGAAAGCACTAATCACTAACAAACCCAAGATTCTTACCACGGATAATTGTCACAACATGGAACACAATACAAATTCCATATGAAGAACCAATAAAATTCACGTGTCATTCATTGTTTCTCACAATCGAAGATTGAAACGAGTATAATTTCGTTGACATAATTGAATTTCGCAAGCTATAAATGAAAATAAACTTGTTTATGGAAAGTATCGTAACATAAATTCTATCCTATGCGTAGCATCAAAACTAATAAAAAATTTAACAAAAAATCTGAAATGAATATTAGAAACTGAAATTATACTGGTTTCAAAATTTGCTCACAACGAGATCGACAATAAAAGTCAACGATTTTCTCGTTAGTTTTATAGAAATAAGACTTATTAGCTACGCGAAAGAAACTGCACGATAGATTAAAGGCTGAAATTTTTCCATTTATCTTTCCTCATGGAGAAGCTGCAGATAAAAAAGAATATTTATAATGCCATTATTCTACGTGGAGTTCTAAGAATAATCACTGTAGAGATTAAACGTTTTTTCTTCATAATCCCAGGAGACTTGACTTCACGGATGACATTTAATCTCCGGAAATTCCGTTTTGATCCGAGCTGCTTATTTTGCGACTGTCATAGGTGAACAGCCGATCGCGAATCCAGCACGAATCGCATATAATAGCGCCGGTTTCCCTCGCAACCAATGGCAAAGTCACGATCCTTTCACTGTCATTATGCGCCCGGGGTCTCTCTTTCTCTTTCTCTTTCTTTTTCTTTTCTTTTTCTGTTTCTCCTTCGCCGAACGCTTTTGTGTAATGTCGTCGCCGTCGTCGTCACATCGGTAAATTGTCACTGACCCCGTAATTTGCGGCCGTAAAAGCGTCAATCCTACTTTGTTCACTCACGGTAGACTTAATGGTGACAATGGCGTAACTAACGACGCATGGCATCATGCAATAAATTTTATGATGAAGGTTTCTAATGTGGGAAGAAGAAAAGAGAAATGAATCAAATGAGAGAAAAGAATTAAAATGTTTTTAATACGTGAAAAAAAGCACTACTAAACCTAGTAACATATTTGACAATTAACGCGTTAGTATTTGATTACCTTATTCTATAGGTGATAGAGACGTTCCGATGGTAATTTCGTAATCTCGTTTGTCACATTGAATTAAGCAACGCGAAACGCAAAATGGGCCGGGCACGTACGATTTCTACACACTAAATGAGCGACGAAAACTGATAGAAAATTCTACAAAAGCGTAAATTTAAATCGAGGATATCCAATTAGTTATAGGATTTGTTCCTAAAAATGTTACAATCGTTAGGTTTAAGAAACATAATTCATAAAAAACATAAATTCATTCAAGAAGAAATGAGATCCGGAGGACAATATTCTAAGTTAAGGAAAATTTTGTAAGCGAATTGTAAGTTAGACTCTTAATATAATATGTGAATTATTTAATTTCAAGCCAGCGCATATTTATACAGACAGTTCATTATATAACATATAAAATAAGTTTGTAAGCAATTTCCTGACAATATAATTTATATAACATATAAAATAAGTTTGTAAGACAATTTTTTTAGAATATTCTTTAGCAATTTTAAAATAACATTTTTTAGAAGTTTATATAAATTTCAAAATTTATTAGAATTTCTGTAATTCTATTACAATTTTTTAGAAATTCTCAAATTTTTTTGTACCAATAGACACTTCAGAAGTAATGAGGAAGTTTACATTTTTTCTAGAATTCTTGTTTATAAATTCTGAAACATTCTATAAGATTTTTTTTCTAAAATTTCTAAAGAATCCTTATAAACCTTAAAGAAGATAAAAATATCGTTTCAGAAATCTTCTCATAATTTAAAATAGAAAATATTTTAAAAAATATTGTACAATATTATTTGTCACGTCAGGATTCTATTGTGGATTATTCTTAAGGATTATTCTTAAGTGTGCATACAAGAAATTCATTTAGAAATATTTCATGAAATATCATTAATTTACTCCGATATCTAATTTATCAAAGCCAATATTTCGAATAAATTACTAGAAAAAGTTGAAAACTTTTTATTATAATACGCTTTCAGCACATTCTTGAATGTCTATCACAGACTTGAAATAAGAGCTGTCCAAAAGTAAAAAAGACAGAATTAACGAGCTAAAAAGACATACAGGAAATAATATATAATTTATCCCAAAGTCATTGCTGCAGCGTGGTAACCAAGTTCCGCATTCACTTCACATTTTCTATCGCCATGTCGTCTACGTTTGGCTCGTAGATTGGTTTGTTTTACTCCTTGATCTTTAATAAGCAAGGTAATTCAGTATTGGTATAATTTTCCTCGTCTCTCTCTCTCTCTCTCTCCACCCACAGAGCTTTGCAAAGAAATAACGGAGGTTCCCCTTCTCGATGTTCGCTCGGATCATGATCCGACGGGACCCTTCACATACCCCCGAATAAACCTCGACACCTGATAGTTCTATCCGATGGTGGGCAGACAGGTATTCCGGAGCAGGTTGGCGAAGCCACCGTGCATTCGAACAGTCGAGCGCCGGCCTCTCACCGTGCAACGTTCCGTTCCTCTCTCGAGTACGTCAACGGAACGAGCGGTAGCTCGCACTTTTCCTCGCCGTTCTCTCTCCCGAACGAGGAACGAAGGCAGAGTTCCGCATTGGCTGTCAGCAAAATACCGTATCGAACACGCTGGATCTACAGAGAGGTTCGCGAGGGTGATGTGAGCTTTGAGCATTTTGAGATTTACGAAGGACCACGTGGATGTACGCGACGACTATTTAAACGGCTGCGTGGGATATTTCCGTGATGGACCGATAGGCGATAGGACGACGGCCGCGTGACATGAGAGAACGGCTGCGAAAATGTGAGTTGATTGCAAGATTCATCGTATCAATGTTGAAGTTAAAACTGAATATGCGCGTGACAGAAGAGAAACACTGACTTGAGCGTCATGTACTGCACTCGCGTGGAAAAAACGGTTTTGCTGAAGTATCTAAAAATTTAAATATGGAAAAATTAATTTTGTTTGATTATCAAAATAATTATGTATGACACCTAAACTGATTGCTACATTTTTTTTGCAACAGTACTCATCGTGTTTGAGTCTTTAATCATTTTAATAGTCCAAAAAATTATTTTCAGATCTGTATCTACTTAAATTTTCAAAATTGCTTTTTTCCTGCAGAAAAATATATATACTGACAGTAATTATCTGATATTATACGATAAAATAATATGATTAGAAACTTTATTTTTATAATTATTGTGCTGTTATACTATATTAGTAATTAGAATAATTATACTTTAACACAAAAAATTACTACAAATTATAGTTAAGTTACAGTCACAATCTATTGCAATCATTTTTTCTCTCAGTGTGTGAATGCAAGGTGCACGAGCGAGTATACAATAAAAAAATATTTTTATTACTATAAAACTCAATAAATCCAAGTCTTAATGCGTCTGGTAAACGACATTCGTATTTATTTCTTATAGTGAATTTCATTACAGTCGACGTAACGGAATCAAAAGATAAGTAATTAAACTTCTCATTAATTACGTGGATATTTTTTATTCTTGAGGTATAAATATCTGCAATGATTCTTTCCTATTTATAAAATATTTTAACATAAGAATAGCTACATTACTATTACGACCTTGACAAAACGATGTCACGTAAATGAGTCATCTCAACGCATGCATATCTGATTTATTTAGTGATATATTATTCAGATTTATTTAGATATATATATATATTAATTTAGATATATAAATAAATAAATATCGCTTTTAATTTTAATCGCTATTGTTTTCTTACATTTGTCAGCTAACTTTCTTAGGCACTTAACTACTCATGTCGCGTTGGAAAACACCGTTTACGCGACGCATGAGTGCGTCGCTCTTAAGACGATTCCGATTCAGAACACGTGTTCGAAATCGCGACGCATGTTCGATCGCGTAGCTTTTCATTTGCAGTGCTGCAATACGATTTATTTGTTAGCGTGTCAGCAATCCTCCTTTTATTCTTTACTACGAAAAATTTCCAATACAAAGGTCTTATTCTCGAAAAATATCACATACGAAGATACTAGGGAAATCTATAATATACACATATATATACACATAATGTATACTATTTTGTATGCGATATTTTTCAAGAACATGATCCTAGAACGCTCCTAGAAAACAAACTGACTTATTTGTCATCATTTTGATATCAAAATGTTGTCTTATTTTGAAGTTAAAATAAATAAATTAGCTTGTTTGCTAGGCTAGAATGTCTTCCTTTTGAATAAAATTCAACAATATACTATTAGAACAGGAGCAATGGTAACCCAATCCCTTGAGTTAAATATTTTGTCATTTTCAACTTTCATTGAAAATGTAAATCAATCCATTTCTGTGGTTAATTTCAAAATAAACAACGTCTACATTAACGTATGTATGTACAATGTACATTGTACATAGGGAATAATGAATTGTATTTGAATCAAATTTAATATATTTTCTTAAGTTAAATTATTTAACGCCATTGTTTTAATTAAATTAACGACATATTAAATAGGAGTTGCGACCTATACATAAAACTAATTAAAAATAACTCAAAATGATTGCAATTTAACATTATGAATTAATGCAATGGTATAGTTTCGATATAGAATAACGAGTTTTGTATCTTATATCTAGCTGCTTATCACACGTTCGTAACATAATATAGGTATATATCGAACAATTTCAAGAAGCTGCTTTTTACAGAACTACAAAATTGAATTCCAACCCTAGCGAAAATATTAATCGGAGCATAAGTTGAATGTGAAGAGAGAGTAACAAAAGCGTAAGCAAACGTTTTAAGGAACGTAGATTGAAGCAATCGAATGTAAATGAAGCGTAAAACGTTTACGAAATACTTTAACGCTTTTACGTTTTATTGTTCCAATCTACGCTCCTTAAAACGTTCGATTACACTTCTGCCACTCTCCCTTTACATTTAACTCACATTTCGTCTTGTTACGCTTCATTTTCGCAAGAGAAGCGTTCAATCCGTGCGATTCATAAAGAAAGCATTCTGGTACCGATTACCGAGAGTATTCTAACGATAGCTTCGAAGATTTCGGAAATGTGTCCGCGAGGAAAAGAACGGTAACTATATATAGATAA